TCAGTGGCCGCACTGCATCGCCTGTGTATCAGGTACTGTGCTAGGCAGCCAGCTGGGCTATGGGCATGCAGAGAAATGTGACACAGAGAAGACTTCCACAGTGAACAAAATGTTATGGGAGCCAAGAGGCAGAATCTAGTAATTCTACCTTAGGGATAGGTGAAGACTCGACAACTTGGGGACAGCTGCAGACTTCTATAAAGATGTGAGTAAGATCATAAGAAAGCCGGTTTACAAGGGAAAACACGGTGGGCAGAAGAGTTAACAGGGGCAAAAGCACCGTCTTGGGAAAGAATGAATATTTGCAGGGGCGATGTGAGCAAGGGCGTGGCTCAAAGTAGCTATGGGGAGTGTGGGAGATGGCTGCGTGTACCTCAGAGCACACAGGCTCCTACTGCCCACTGATGGATCTGGACTTACTGCTCTAGGCAGTATTAAGTGGTTGAGAGATTAAGGACATAAAACCAGATCTGTCTGGATAACATAAACTCTGGCAAACTACGGAGCAGGAAGTGATGACAGGCAGGGCAAGAAGTCAGGGAGCTACCACAGTAGTCCTGATGATGCTCAAGGGCTGGCCAAAGGCAGCAGTGATGGAGCAGGGGAGAATCTGAAGGCGAGACTGGCAGGAGGTAATGACGGCTTGGATGGATTCCGACAAGATGGGGGAAAACCTGAAAGTATGACTTCTGCATTTACCATACCGACGTCTGCCAAATGACACGTGAACACAGGGAGAGGAGTAGTAATTAATTTGGTTTCGGGCAACTGTCAGCCAGAGATGCTTTTATATGACACCCTGGAAGAAAGGTCCAACAGGCAGCTAGAAACAGGAGTGAGACACTTGGGAAACAAGTGGGGCAGAAGATCCTTAGCAGGCAACGCCACGCTCAGGGATGGTTCACTCAGAATCAGATACGGTCTCCCAGGAGGAGTGCAGAGAGTAACAAGAGGGTTAAGTATGCAACTCCCTGGGTCTCCGTGAGGCATGTGCAAGAGCAGAGAGAGAGAGACAGAGAGAGAGACAGAGAGAGAGAGAGACAGAGAGAGAGACAGAGAGAGAGGACAAGAGCAGTCCATGGACACAAGGAAAAGCACTGTTCTGAAATTAGTCACAGGGACAAGAAGAGGGAGAGAGGGGAAGCCACAGTCAAATGTTTCATAGGATGGAGTCTGCAACAAGACTGGTGGCTTTAGCATGGGAGCTCACTTGGCACCCAAGAGAAAGCACTTTCACTGAAGGGTCAGGGCCCGGATGCCAGTGTACCGAGGAGCAAATGGAAGATGTTCCCGTGGAGGCGCGTGGCACATGGGGTCCCCCCGGGTGAGGACACTGCCGGAGACTTTTATTCTGACACGTTTCTGTATTCGCCATCTTCTGTCATGAATGTGTCTTATTTTAGTAACAGTGAAAAAGGAAGTTGAATTTCCAAAGAATCTGGTGTCTGGGTGTCCTTAGCTCTGAGAAATAGAAATAATGAAGTGGGAAATCCCCCAAGTGGGGTTCCTGTACCCGTTCTGCCATTCATTAGCTGTCTGACCCCAAGAATAATATTTAGAACTTTGGTTTGGGCCTTAGTCTCTTTAGCCACAAATAAAGGAGCCAGGCTCAAAACCACTAAACTGGTTTCTAAATGTTGAAGTCCAGGATGTAGCTCACAATGCAACACTAAGCTCTCAAGTGAATTAGAGAAAATTAGTAAAGAAACCCTCTAGTAAACCGTTGTGCAAAGCAACATTTACTTTGTGATACAATTACCCCATACCTTATAATTTCTGATTTTATTTGCTTTTCTTAGATGGCATCGATTTAAAAATATATAAATTTTTTTCATTGTTCTTTTCATCAGACCTGTTTTAAAAATCAGATTCACTTTCTACCAATGTATCCCCTCTGTTCACCAAGGAAGAGAAAGGCATCTTGTGGGTAAGGTTTGAAGGCCACAGTTGCCAAGACGAAATATTTACTGTTTCCTTTAGAGTGCCCAAAGACATAAAGTTTTTACTGAGCAATTATCACAGGTACTAAGGAAATAAAAGCATCAGACTGTATTTCACATCCATACCCTCTTAAATGTGATGAATGGCTTGGTATGGTCATTTTTTAAAAGTCATTTCTGTTTCAGATGCTTTTAGCAAGCAACATACAGTGATATAAATTAATGGCCAGAGGCCTAGGCAGTGAAAAATATCAGATTAGACTGAAAGAAAAATTATATGGAAGCCAGGCGGTAATTCAGAAATAAAACCCTAGGATATGAGAGCTCAGAAGTACCTTAAAGGCCTTGTGGGACAAAGTCCCGTGGGAAGTGGGTGCCCTTACCAGTGGGCTCCCCGCTTGCTCTGAGACACCTCCGGGGAAACGCTCACTACTTCATGAGAAAGCTATTTGCTGGCCCACTCTTGCTTAGTGACTGGGAAGCCCTTTTAGATACTGATCTGAAATCGGTTTCCCCAGTGTCCCAGCCCTGGGCCGCAGTTCTGTCCTCACAGTGAGGAGACATGAACTGCTTCTGTAACTGCTCATTGCTGCAACGTGGATTGTCCCGGGGAAACTACACACTGAGCGAAGATGTTACAGGTGGCTGGGGTTGTAGCTCAGTGGTGCCGCGCCTGCCTGGTAAGCGCAAGGTCCTGAGTTAGATCCCTGGTACCGGGGAAAAAAATGTTACAGGCTATACTGCAAATTCCTCTTCCCCTTCCTAAATACTTTTCCGGAAGATGAAGAATGTGGGCTGAACATATCATATCTACAGGGAAATGAACAGGAATCCTAGGTTGAACATCTGTTCAAACTTGGTACCAAACACTGTGCTCTGTGTAACGTTCGTTCGACTGGGATATGGAACAGACTCTTTTCTCCACCCGACCAACCTGCTGGGAGAAAGGTGTTCTTTTGGTTCCGAGCAACATCCTGGCCGATGCCCACGGCAGCCACATGCTCACAGCCAGCCGGGACTCACACAGGTCTACATCCCTCTCCCACCGACAGGGACTCTGCCATGCTTCTCCACACCCTCTATACCAGCGCGCTGATTGCTGCACTTACACAGTTTAATTAAATGGGAAGCAAACCAATAAAAACCAACATGCATATAAGATCTGTTGTATTTCTAAGCAAGTGCTTTAGAAAGACCAGATAAGGATGACAGAGGGAAAAAAAAAAGCTGCCAAATGAGGTGTAGATGATTCAAGTGTGCAAAACTAAACAAATCTGGGGGTATTTTGCGCTCATTTGCTTTGTAAAGTTCTTTAAATCCTTACTCTCTTTCAAGTAGGCAGTGCAGACAATGCATACTAGTGAGGTTTACGTACGAGCTACACAGAGTGCCAAGACTGGACCACTGCTGAAAGACAGACCTTGGCGCTTCTTCAAGGACTGCTGAGTGAAAGTATAGTCTTATGCTTTAAGTTAAAATTAAATATCTCAAAGATTTATCTTTTTATGATTCCCAGTTGCGATCATCTTCAGAGAAACGATCGAGTACTAGTCCTGATAGTCAGACTAAGGTCCTCATTGCAGAATACCAGGGAACTGCCTAAAATGAGGACCATCACAGGTAGTCTTAGAGCTCCATGGAAGCAAAGTTACATCTTGTGATCCTCCTTCCTCAGCCTCCCAGAAGGCTGAGGTTATAGGCACCTGTCTTCCCCTTTTACAATATTACAAGACAAGTAAAGGAAAAACCTAAATTTCCATGACATCCTACAATGATCCCTTTCTGTATTTCACTGGCATTCCCTCTGCAGAGTATGATCACTGGGATAGTTTTGTTTAACACTGTATCATATACACTTAGCTTGATCATGGCCACCTAATCTTCATATAGATCATTAATGACTCTTCAATATCATGATCTATGAATTAACTCATTTCAATCATTCAGGTAAGGTGTTACTCTATGGCACCAAGGACAAATACGGAAAAGGCAGTTAGTTACTTAACTTCAGCAGTTACTTAAGGCCAACCAGATTTCTGTTGCGATTTTTCTAATATAGGTACAACTAAGTTCAAAAAGTCTTTTTTATGTCATATGTGTCACTGTGGTGACCACTTAAATGAACTGTGCTGTCCCTTAGTAATAACCTGCCTCTTTCCCTTCACATGTGTTTGAATTAGTGTTTGCTCATTTAATTCTGTACCTCTTGTGCCTCTCTGTATTTGGTAACTGAGAAACAATGTGTGGATGAAAGCATTTTTATACTTTAGTCTCTAGGACTTGTTAAAATAGTTCTGGTAAACAGAATAAATGTCCCCTATCGAGGAACAGTGAAAGTTATTATAGAAGCATGGCTAAGGTTGAGATTCAGAAAGTAAAATGGCCTTTGTTTCATTTTATTTGGCTTTCAAAGGATCACTTGGTCTTTTGCTTTTCTTAAGATACCAGTTATAGCTACAGAGCATAAACTAAAAGGGTGCTGTGTGATCTGGAAGTTGATCGGTTTATGTGGAACACCATCAGCTCTCCATTTAGATTTGTGCAGCCTGACTCAAATTTAAAGTGAATGCAAACCTGGCAACTCTCTAGGCCAAATTCTGGAAACACACCTTAAGAATTCTAAGTGGAAGTAGTTTTTGTAGATCCTTAGAGGTTGCTTTTGATTTAGAGAAGTGTAAAGATAAATTTCTCCAAGGGGGAAGAAAAAAGAATTATGCATTTTAATGAGACAACACTACATTAAACCCTAGCTGATCACTCTGTCAGTTTTAGGCAATCCCCAGCAATGCTCTCACCATTTTGGATCCAGCCTCACGCCGTCTCTGAGTTGGAAAGCTTATTAGAGGCCACGTAGCTCAGAGAGTCATCACTCATATATGGTTTCCACTGATACAGCAGTAACAGAAAGTAACAGGAAAAAGTAATGGAAATTTCTAGAAGCAGGATTATGCCAGGACTTTGGGACTGCTTCTTACCCAGTCACAGTGTGAGCCCAAGCCCATGTAGGTCCAGGTCCTGAGAGGAGCCCTCCATCCCCTGCACGACACCACTTGGACTTACCTCTAGAGGCCCGGGAGCGGCACTGGCCTGTCATGGGGCTGTACTCCTGGCTTTCGTCAGCACACACACAGAGGAAGGACCCCTCCACATTTTCACAGAAGGCTTCCCCACACACGCCACTGAGCAGCTCACATTCGTTCACATCTGGAAAAGGGAGCACAGAGCAAGTGAGACGTGTGCCTCCTTCCTGACAGCTCTTTATTTTACCAGCTGTGCCAAGGCCTGAAGTGTTTGCTGGAAATGAGGTGATCCTCAGGGAGAAACCCAACCCCTTTCAGTCTTTTAGGGAAGGGGTCCCTGAGGGCAGACTGTACTATTTGGCCTGTATGAGAGAACCATGAAAGCGTAAGGCAAAGGTCCTGCATTCCAATGCTAGTTTTAAGGAACACTCTGGAATTACGGAAGCACAGGATGTGCCCTCTGACTTCTAGTTATGCCTTCCCCAACCTTTCAACACAGTGAAGTCATAAATGAACCAGCACGCAACTACTCTTGGTTCTTTAAGGAAAAAAATAGAAGCATGAGCACGTATTTCAGCAACCACGGAATCTTTAAATTTCTTTAGAAAACCTAAAAACCTACTGAAGTGTCTGAAAATACAGTTTTCCTGCAGCCCCAATATTTATAAATTAGAATCTGGGGATGCAAAGACAAGACCACTATAAATATTCATCAGGTACATTAGTCATTCGTGTGAACCAAACTGGCAATAACTAATCACTGCTTCCACTGTCTTTTTCAAATTCTGTTGCTGTCCCCAGTATAACTAATATTTTACTAAGTGTTTTTCGTGTGTGTGATTAAAATGTAAAAATATAAAATTAAAATATAGTCAAGGCATCTCCTTGGTATGTGACTTACTCAACACTGTGGAAGTATGATACACAGCCCTAAAGAAAGACTAACTGTTCATTTGACCTCGCCCAAAAGTACTTACTTTTTCTTCTTAAAAAGGTTTTATTAATGACTGCCCTGTCAGCAGAGTAGTTGATTTGCCATCTGAAATGCTTTTGGGTCTTATGCCTCAAATTTGTACAGACATTAGCTTTTATGAGCACTCTTGGAGAGGTCTCAGGCCAAGTTGAAAATCTGAGCAATTATCCAACCCATTTAAGGAGAAACATCTTATTTTCACCTGCTACCCTCAGTTTATAGGACTAAAGGTTTATGGACCTTGACTTACTGGGACAATTACCTCAGTTTCTCTCTTTCACTTTTTATATAAACAGATATTAATCCAATAAGCTTGGTTTCACTTATAAAAAAAAGATTTTGTAATATGAAGTAGAACTGGAGCATTTAATCAGTCTACACAGTCATAATGTAGAACAGAAGAGTTGGCTTTATAAATCTGCCAGTTCACATTTATCTATTTTAGGTAAACATCACATGAAACTTCCTACTTCCCAGCTCATTTACATAGCGACTGGGATTTCTCCCATAGATTGCATTCCTTGAATCAAGGGGTCTTAGAAAAGACTAGAAAGTTTACTCTTATGGGCCACGCCCATTTGGCCCGTATGTGGGGAAATAATGACAGTCAGGCTTGAATCCTTCCTTCCTGCAGTGTAGAATCAAGTCAGGGAAATTCGCAGGCTTCATGAATAGTAGGATTAAAGAGTATGGAGCTCTGCGGGAGCATGAGAAGTGGTCCTGTGGTGCAAGGATTAGTATTTGAGCCCAGAGCTGAGGGATGAGTAGGCCAAAATGAGAGGTGGGTAGGCAGAGTCCAACCAGAGGACACAGCAAGCCAAAGCCTTGCCTCGTGACTGATTCATCCATGGAATGTGAACTCCCAGGGTGACCAAGTGCATTTAACAGGTGCTCAGTGTACTGCTGTTGTTATTTTTGCAATGCTGGGGATAGAACCCGGGGCCTTGCACACTACTGAGCTACATCGCCAGCCATCAGTTAATATTTCTGAAAGAATGAAAAGACAAAGTAACATTTGGCAAGTTCGCCAAAATCACAACACACACCCCCTTCTCTAAGGACGGTGTTTTGTGTGCCCAACAGAGATGGCAGCAGGCGTGGCATGCACACCTGGCCGGTTAGAACGGAACATGAAGCAGAAGCTCAGGGCCGTGTGCAGTCAGCGGTGGCTTAACATCGCACAGCTCCACAAGTAAGAGTTAAACCCAATTCACGGAGTACCTAGGGCAGATCAGTGACTGCGCCCACCGAGGAGAGAGAGGCCGAGGGGGAGAGAGAGAGACAGAGGCACAAAGGAAAGTGAGAAGGTCCCTGATCACATGGAGATCACGGACTCTGTGACGCCAGCACACTCGTGATGAAATCATTCCGCAGAATGCTACAATTTGCTGACAGTGCCCTGCAGGCAGGTGGAAAGCAACATCTCAGCTTGGGAGCAAGGAAAGGAGCAAGGACAGATGGGAGATGGCCCCCGGCTTCATGCTTCGGGAAGGAGTGAGGTGCAGAAGCCAGGCTCGGGAAGAACATTCCCAGCAGGAGGCTTGAAAGGCAACCAGCTAAGTGTCCTGCGCATAAGCAACCATAAGCACCGCTGTTGTTAGGACATAAAAGGTGAGGAAGGGAGTGGTGAGGTTAAGAAAGTAAGTAGGGGCCAAATCCCTATCTAGTCAAAATATACACAAACACCGGACAATCTGAATTGCCTGCATTTTGGTGGGAAGGGCAGTAAAGCAGGAAGGAGTTGGTACAGAGATTAGGACAGTCCTAGCTGTTTACTAAAATAGCTATGTCCTGACTCAGTCTTACATTCATCTTCGGCTTTTGACTGGCTTGTATTTAGGCTCAATACTACTTACTACTTTATAAACATTTTCTGTGACTCAGGATTAACTAAATTTCATAATGAATCCCAGACAAGCAGTTACTACTGAAATGATATTAACATCAAACCTCCAAACAGATTTTCTCTTCTCGGCTTTTTATCTGTGTAGCAATGGAACTAGTGTTTTACATATAAATTTTCAAAACATAAAAATAGACTTTCTTCCAGGGCCATCTGCCTTGTTATAAACACAGCTATTTTTCTTCATTAAGAAGAATAAAGAAAAGACATTTTGAGTTTTATACCATTTGTTCTATTTCCCATGAAACTGCTCTAATTGCAAAGATGCTTTGTAATGGATTTGATTTGAAGAAATCACGGCAGATCAGAAAATGAAATGCGAAATATCTTCTTCGCTGGGAGCCGGTGTTCGAGAAAGCTCTAGGACACCCGATGACATTCAAGATTCTTTCCACTCTGCTCGATCCCAGAACTGACTGAAGAAATACAGCTGCACAATCCAAAGCATCATTTTACTGGTATCCTTCCTGGAAATTGAAGTCCTACCGAGCTTCCCCTGAAATGCACTGCTGCAGGAGGTGCTGCACATGGTGAAGACAGAAGTGCGAGGCCACACAACAGACTCTTCCCTGTGCTGTGTGAGAGGGACTCTGGAGCCTGCCCGCTCTGCCAAGAATTCAAACAGCTGTCCTTTCACAAATAGTTTTAGAGATATGCTTACATATTTCGTAACATCCCTATCATTTCAGAAGCCATGGGACATATAATTTGTACGATTTCAAATTATATGATAACATCAAATTACGATGGAATTTTGCCTGAGTTTCCTGCTCAAAATCTCCCACTGTTGATGAATTTGACCTCTTTTCAAAAGGGACATGAAACACCTTGGGAAAAATCTAATAACTCACCCACACACCCTTGCCCATCCTGTGGGGCTTGAAAGCCCTGATAACAGAGGCAGCGGAAGGAGCCAGGTGTATTGTCACAAAACCCGTGACTGTCACAAACAGTGTTGTTTACACATTCATCAGTATCTGTAAAAGAGATGTGCAGCATCAGACACAAAACACAGGCTGACAAACACCAGACACTAATGAATAAACAGAAGCACTTGACACACCCCAATCAGTCTGAGATGACCATGTTTACACAGAAAAAAACATTTTACGTAGTAATAAAATGTTTTGATGGAAATGGGTGAAGAGCCAAAATGTTGAGTTCTATGAGAAAACATTTACTTCTTCTCAGGAAATGTTTTCAAACTGAAACAACTGCTGCGATTGCCATGATCAGGATTCCTAAATGTTTTCTACTCTTGGTTTCCAAGGAGAGTTACCGTCTAACAGGAGAAATGGGTACAATTTGGACTTTCTCACTTCTGAATTACAAAATACAAGTTTAACATCAAAGTTTCTTAATTTTTTTAAAACTGTCCCTTCTGCTTTCGGGGCAAGACTCCTCCTCCCATTTTGCCTGGTCTCTTCTGCCCCCTTGGCTAGGGAATAACAACTAGAAAACAAAGCCCAAACATGTTCGGTACTGGTGCACTTTTTTTCTGAACAGTTTTGATCTATGGTTTCTTGAGCCCACAAATGCAGAACTTGTGGATATAGCAACCAACTAAACAGCTTATCTGTAATACAGAAATAATAGTAATGCTGTGTATGACATGAGTAATACTGGCATGTGCCCTCAATTACTGTGATGATTAAACAAAATAACGCGTACAAAGCCTGACCATTATTTTCTGGTTGGCCACTCTTGACCGCTAAGTCTAGTGAGCACCCAGGCTCCAGCACTCTTCCCATGTTTAGTAACAGAATGTTAATATTATTCTTTTTCTGCATTTGGCCACTCTGGCTTGTCCTTGCCCTTTCGCAGTCTGCAGGTGGATGTCTGCCAGGGCTCTGCTCTCCACCAGACTCGGCTGCAGGGACCACAGACAGTCCTTGGGATGAATCCCAAATCTCTGTCCTCAGCCAGGATCCTTCTCCTAAGTACATGTCTTTTTTTTAATTCTTTTATTATATGTTCATAGTTTATGCAGTTGACAGTAACCCCGGGGAGTGGTCACATGTACATATGACAGCTTGTTTCTGTTTCTGTCTTTTTACAAAGCCCTTCCCTCCCTCTTCCAATTCCCAGATCCCATGTTTTATTCTTATTGGTGCTATTACTCTTAGCTCATGTTATGGCGCACGATGTTTACATTAATTGCGGTTATTAGGTTCCTGTACGTGGCGTATCTTCATTCTTTTTATTTCCCCTCTTTCTTTTCCTCGTCCCTCCTGCTTGTTCCTTTCATCCTCTTCCCTACTGCAAGAGTTCCATCCCCTTGCCCCCTTCCATCCACCCGTTCTTAGGGTAGCACAGTGACTCCCTCAAATGAGGGAGAGCAAATGTATTTAAGCTGTGTCTGATTTCACTCAATGTTACATTTTCCTACAAATGTTGCAGATCTATTGTTCCTAACAGCAGAGCAGTATTTCAGATGGTGGTATCTATTTGATCTGCTGCTGTACTATCAAACTTTCTCAAGCCTAGAGCTGGATTCAATGTCTTCCTGCCAAACCACACTACCTAAACTCAGTGAGAAGTTGCTCTCACTTCTCTTCTTCCTTTTTTGCCTTCATCTCCCCTCCCTAAACTGAACACGCAATGAAATTGTTTAAACACCTAAACAAACGAATCTTAAGAAATAGGATCTGACTGACCTTGAATGTCAGCATGAGGCTGGCATGATAACTTTCTGATTATAATCAGGAGGAGGAACTGTGCTGTGCAGTCACTGAACACAGGTCACTGATGACTTCAGGCTTTGCCAAATGAGATTTGTCACAGAGCCGCAGGATTTAAGGGCTGCACACTGAGGCCTGCTGCATTCTTGTGTATGCACTAATGGTATCCCAGTCTCTCTGAAGGTTTGACCCCTGTCCTTCAGACCCATTTCTCTAAAGGTGACGGGACACGTCTGTAATAAATGAACCTATTATCACTCCTCGCCTCACCTCGCCTCCACTTCTCCTGTATTCCCTCCATCGGTGAATAAGTCACCAGTCACCCAAGCCAGAAATCTCGACGTCACCCTTCCCTTTGCTCACTCCCTGTCCCTCTCAAGCCTGCTGTCTTATCTTCCCCTCACTCCCTGTACTCCTAATTGGCTTCCCTTATCTGCAGTCTTGCCTCTCCCTTGAATCCATTCTCCACCCAACTGCTGCCAATGGGCTCTTTCCAAAATGCAATCCTGTCAGCACCATTCCCTTGCTTAACAATGCTCAGAATCCCTTGTTGGCTGGAAAACCACACAGCCTTCTTAGAAGCATACAGAGCCCCCACATCCTCTGGCTCCTGGCTACCTGTGAGGGCACAGTTCTCAGATAACCTTCCTCCTGATCTGTGCTCCACCTTGTCGGTGCACTAGAGCTATTTGGAAACCTCCAGTCCTTAGTTTCTCACTGACTTGGTCCACGCTCCTTTCCCTACCAAATCCTTCCCAGGCCATGCTTTGCTCAGAACCTCCCCCTCCTGGAGTCAGCCCAAAGGACACCTCCTTCGTGGCACTTTCAGGGCCCCTCCACTCTGCTCCCAGAGCATTTTGTGCCACTGCTATGTTTATCACAGCTGCAAGGTTTGGGTATCTTAACCAACCCCACCAGCAACCTATTTCTATACTAAAATGGGAGGAGAGAGGGCAGGCAGCTACTAGAAATCTGCTGCTTTTCCAGTCCAGACTCTTAAAGTAAAATATCTTGCTAATTCTTGCTTTATTAATTCCACACAGTTATAGCAGATGATTTCTTATTCCTGTTCACCAACACAGGAACTGCAAACGTGTCCTGAAGGTGAACGAGATCCCAGCTGGCTATGAATTACTGGGTGCCCTGCAGACTGACATTTACTGTAACAGTGATTAACCGGAAAAGTTTAGATGAGCAGTACTTTGGAAGTGAATGAATAGGAAAATGTAACGTGCAGTGCCTGCTGGAGACTAGCTCTTCGACAAATAATATCTTACAAGAATGGCATAATGTAACTCTCCACGGTTTCATGTTTTCCACAATGAGGTTAACAGTTCAGGAAGAGCACCACATGTGCTTTGCTTCTCTAACAACCAAAATAAAAATACGATTACGTTAGAATTTTCTTTGATGATGCGAACCCTCAGATATTTTCCCACCGTTACACTGGACAAACGAAAGCCACCCCGTTCTGCTGAAGTGAAATTTGGGTCATGAAACTAAATTGCAAATCATCCGATATCATGTGTTTTCTTTTTCGCTTAGTGTTAAAACCACTAAATCAATCCTGCTTAGGGATCTGTAAGAGCCATGCATGAGATTATCACTAGTGATATTAACGGGTTAGTGATCTGCTGGAGTGATTGTCCAGTGATCTCTCAGTTGTCAACTAACACAAATCAAGTACGCTAACTTAAGAGCTGCTGATTGCTCATGCGAGTGTTTGCTATTTATATATTACTAGAAAGGGTAGGTGTAAATAGTCACACTGCAATGGAAATGAAGTCAAGAAATAACTACACAGAGCCAGGATGGTGGCTCACCAAGGTGAATCCCCCACTGCCCATATGGACCAAAATTTTTTCAAAACCTACTTATTGTTATCTACCTATTAGAAAAGGATTCCGAGAATGAACTGAACCTTCAGTTTTTTGTTTTTGTTTTTTTTTTTGGTACCAGGGATCGAACTTGGGTCCTTGTGCTTGCGAGGTACGCAGCAGAACCACTGAGCTAAATCCCCGGACCTGAACCTTCAGTTCTGCAATAAAGGTTAAGACCAGGCACTTGGTGACACCCTCTCACTTAGGCAAACTATGAAATTAGAACACAATATGGAGAAGACGCATGATTTCTAAAACCTTGTTTACTGAGCAAGAAATTAAAACTGTGATAAAAGAGCTGGACAATGACATTCATAACAAACACTGGCGATTCCTTTACATTTTTTGTATTATATTCAGAAGAGTCTGTGTGTGTCCTGAGAAAGGGCTGTTTGTATCTATTTTGTTCATAAAGTGCTTTGGTTTTTTTTTCCCAGAAATATTCTTCAGGTTTTTTGCCTTGAATTAAGAAGGTGCTTTATTTTCTTAGTTTCTTGACTGTTTTGTGGACTTTCTTTCCCTCTTTCTGACATGGCTTCCCTAATGTCACTAATGAGTGTCCCTTCTGCTGCCAGGCCACTCCAGAGAGGCACGTGGCGGAAATGACTGGAGCACTCTGGGTAATGACCATTCACAATAAAGTATCCATGGCTACCGCACAGTGGGGAAGAGACGGCCTTCTTGTTGTCAGAACATTTTCAGATGAATCATCTGGTCCATGTGGACCTAAGGGGAACTGAAGATTATCCAGCTCAGCCTCTTTAAGAATCAGGAAATTGAGACCTGAGCAGGGGAAGCGACTGGCGTCAAGGTTACACAGGCAGTTTGTGGGAGCGCAGACAAAGGGATGGTGCTTCGTTATGGAACAATCTTCTCTGTGCGACCTGTCTGCTTGCCTCTTCAGTATAACGATGGTTTAAAAGGTTGCTCCTACTGGATAAAGAAGATGTGGTTTTTCTATAAAATGGAGTACTACTCAGCCATAAAGAATGAGAAACTAGGGACATTTACAGCTGAGTGGATGCACATTAAAGCCGTACTCTTAAGTGAAATAAATAGGACAGATAAATGTGTAAATACCAAATAGTTTCTTTGGTGTGAAAAACTAAAAGTCTAAATAAGGATCGAAGGTTTAATTGATAATTGAAATAGGAAGAAAGGGGCTAAGGGAGCAGAGGAAGTGGGAGCGGTAGAGAAAAGGCAAGAAGGGAAAAGAAAAAATATGAGAAAAGGTCAAAATGGAAACAAAGTCCTTGTAAATAGGGAAGGGTGCTCTGGTGTGAAAAACTAAAAGTATAAATAAGGTTCAAATGGTATAACTGATAGTGTGAAATAGGAAGAAAATGGCTAATGGGGAAGTGGGACAGAGAGGGGAAAGGAAATAAGGGAAAAGAAAAAATGTGACAAAAGGAAAAA